TCAGAATTTCATTTGCTTCATTCACTTCTAAAAACTCTGACTCACTACGTTCCTTGTGTGGAAGAGGAAGGGACCAGAGGCCTCCTATATGCTGAGAGGCGGCGTGGGATGGGCCTCAGGCAGCTGGACCCTGGTTTCAGACTCCTTGAGTTCAAGCGCCGGCTTCATTACCTGAATGTGCCACTGGAGCAAGTTGTCTACTCTCTTTAGCCTTTTGTTTCCTCATCAAGACAATCTGTTTTACACGGAATAAGGAAGGACGTACGTAAGTTTCCACCTTATCATTATCAATGCCAATCCTGTTCTAGCCTTCTCCCGTCAAAGCCTCGTCTACCCTAGGAAGGACCGTGTTGCTCGGGAGGAGAGAGCCAAGCGGGCATTTCTGCAGCAGGACAGCTGTGTGGGCGCTGCCCTCTCACACCCCTGCAGACATCACTATAAAAGAAACGATTTGTCGTGCTCGCCCACTTCGCTGCAGTACACGTCTGGGTGCTGGTCCTGTTGATTCCAAGCCGGATGATATGTAACTCTTTAAAGGCTAAGGCTCTGCAACCTGTCCCATAGTCCCGCCACGTGATATGAACCCTGGGGGAGCTATTACCTCAAAGCAGCAGACGTTTTCCTCGGCCTGGTGAATACTGTGCCGGAGGTCAGCCTTCAAGCTCCAGGCTGTCCTTTTCTTGGTCCTCGTGATGCCTACAGAATGAAGAATACTGAGGAGCAGACCGTGGTGTCCAGCTCCATACGAGGGGGGCTGCAGCCCTTCTTAACTCAGTAATAATTATGACCTTTAGCCCAGGCTAAGCTTCATGAAGCCATAGGAACAAAACCAGAAATAAAGATTGAACTCGCAAAGTTGGATTCCAGAAATGGAAGCCAAAATAGTCAGAACATTGAACCAGTTGCTTAACTGCCTGTTCAGCCCTGACCCTGATGCCCTAGACTGGGGCGAGTAAACAGGAAGGGTGGAGCAAAAATTTTAAAAACATTTGTCTTCCAGGTTTTAAGAAGGAACTGATACATGCCTCTCTATGGGAGAAAAAGTGAATCTTTCAGATCTTTACCATGACTTTCAGAAATTCTAGGTAAGGGTGAACATCAGAAAAGTCTTTCAATAATGTACCTAAATTTTCTTAGGATTTCCATGTCCCTGCTTACACTGCCTTCTGGTCCTGCATGCTGTCTATTTTATCCATTAGCACCCTTGGCGTATGAATCATAGTTGTCTTAAATTCCAGGTCTGATCAACATCCTTCCCACATCTTCAAATGTATTTTTGCCTTTTAGTATGCTTTGTAATTTTTTCTTGATAGCTGCATGTAATGCACTGCATAATGGAACTGTTGTAAACAGGCCTTTAGTGACAAGGGGGTGAGGTGAGGGGGTGCAGAGGCACTCAGTTGTCCTCTGGTTAGGTCTCGGTCTCTTCATGAGCCTGTGCCTCTGGACTATGAACTCACAGGTGTTATGGGGTTTTCTGCCCATGCAGGTGGGTCCAGACAGGTAGAGCTGGCTGGAGTCAGGAGTCCCCCACCCCTGGTTGGTTAGGCTGTGACACCCCAGCAGACTAGGCCCTGGTTAACTGTTACCTAACTTTTTGCTGCTGCAGTTGTCTTTTATGGCCAGTGCCTCATGATCTGTGGTCAGAGAGCAGAGCACAGGCAGTCTTGAAATCTGAAATGACAGGTGGCTTTGGCTTATCCCACTCATCCTTTCACAGTGACTCGTTGTTAACCGAACTGGCTCTTTCCATGTAAAGTCCTCTCCTTCCCCTTGTTCCCTCGTAGGGGTTTAAGCCCATAAGGAAATGACAACACGGTGGACAAGGGAAAGCATCGAAACAGAGAGACTCTTTAATACCAAGTGTGGCATCCTTGGACTGCAGCCTCTGGCGTAAGATGAAAACCCGAAGGGACTGAGAGGGAGAATTAAGGGAGAGAGGCATGAGCCTACGGACAGCTTGCTGTCACCGGTGATGCCCCTTCTATCTCCACAGTGCGGCTTTCCCCCACGAGTGTATCCATCCTACTGTGGTTACATTGTGTGCTTTATGGTATTTCAAAATCAACTACCCTTGACAGGGTCATTTTACAATGACTGTGTTCCTGTAGAGAAGTAGCTGTAATCTTTAAAAAAAAGTCTCTCCAATTTCATAATAATGTTTGTCTCTTTTATCTCAGCCTCCACAAAGGAAAGAGTGATGTAAATATCTACATCACCTACCTGTACGCAGCTTGCAGAAGCTGCACTTAATACACAGTAGGGTAGGTGTTCGCCATGTCACTAACTAGCATTAAATACAAACACTCCCAATATGCACTACCTTGCCATTGCTCAGGAGCCTTGGCATCAGCTACGTGACTCTCCTGGTCTGGGCCATGCTAGGCTTCATACAGCTGGTCTTGCTTAGCCACGTTTGCATGATCACCTGCCGAGTCCACTGGAGGCTGGCTGCTCTAAGATGGGCTCCGTTCAAACAACCTGATTCTGCTCCAGGCAGCCTCTCATCCCCCAGCAGGCTAGCCTTGGCATGTTCACCTGCAGCTGAGCGAGCTTCTGAGAGAACAGATGTGCACAGACTCCTGAGACCTAGACTCAACACTGACATGGTGTCACTTCCGCTGCCTGTTAGCAGCAGTTTATTGACCTAAGGAAATCCCTCTGGATGAGAAGAGCTACAAAGTCATATTGTAAAGGGTGTAGGTACAGGAAGGGGTAGAGAACTGTGGCCTTTGGGACAGTCTTACACAATATATGAGGAAGACAACCAGATCTTCATGATGCCCCCCATTTTTCAATCCCCTTGGAGTAGACCTACCTGTATTATCTCTGCCCCTTTCTGCTGGGAACCATACCCCAGAACCTCTGGTTTCAGTCTTCTCTGGAGCATCTCCACACTGTATGTGCATTTTGATAATAGGAACCCCTTTGCCCAAGTGGTTCCAACTATGTTTCCATCACTCGGAACCAAAGAAATAATAATCGAAAGAGCCCCAAAACATAAAATTCCTGACTAAAAAGGCAGTGTTCATACTTTCAGGGACACTCACTAAACTGGGTTCATGAACCACTTTTTCTTTTTACATATAGAGCAGGGGCTGCAATCCAGAAGCCCAAAGGGAGCCCAGACGGGGAAGGAAGCAGGCCTGTGGGGACCAGAAGGGCAGCTGTCGATAGAAGCAGCTGCTACTCAGATTCTGGAGGAATTATCGGCCCACTGTTGCTGGACCTTCCAGTTTCTCAAAACAACCTGGTCATCTCAAACTTAATGTTAAATTCCTCGATTTGTAAATAATAATAAAATCAACTCATCTTGTAGACCAGATGCATCCATAACTCCCAGCTTAGAATCCCCATTTTGAAATGCATTGTGAATTCAACACCTATTGGTGAATTGCTATCTCTGCCTCACTGCCGGCATCCACACTTCCCCGGGCTCCTCCCACCCTCCTTCACTTTCACCACCAACACAAACATGTAGAACACTTCATAAGCAGGCAGTCCAGGTGACGAGAATAGAGGCCCAGAGAACTTCACTGCACTGAGGGTGCTGGGCTTAGCAGCCAAATCACTCAGCATACCCACCGAAGAGGAGAGGATCCCAATTTTTACCATAAGAAAATTACAAATACAATGTTCTGGGCCAGTAAGCTGCCCATACCAGCTCAAGCTGTGAATGTTAAATCCCTATAGACCAAAGTTCTGCTTCATTACGCTTCAACATAGGATGCCTTTGGTAGGTATCTGTTGCCTATTAGCTCCAAGCCAACCTTTTTTATTCACTGCACCAGGCGGGAGCTAAGAGTCATATCTTTCCCAGGTGCCTTCGACAAATGTCTTTCAATTAGGTTCCACTATGGAGGCCCTGGCAAGAGATTGGAGGACAGGAGAGAAACTCACTTAGCACTTCTGACTTGACTAGACACCTTCCAGGAGTGGTGCACAGCAAGGCTTCTGCAGCAACCAAGGGAGGCTGAGTGCCAGCTGGGCCCACCTGTTGGCCATCCGTGCCCTAACTACCAGGCTGTAGGCATCACCTACAGAGATTCAAGCATCTGTCTCCAGGATCATAGATTCTCTTTTATTTCTCTCTATTTCTAAAGATGGTATCTGCTTCTTAACTTATTAATGTCTGGGTAATGTCCACATCCATTTCTTGCTTTTTCAGCTTCCCAGGATCCTGTAGTATTCAATTCCCTGTATTCAATTCCCTGTTTGAAATCACTAACGTGGTTTCTGTTCTCTTGACTCAACCCTGACTGATAACAATTACTAGAATGAAAAGTTCACTTTGTACAATAGGATTGCTTTTTCTGAAATCATAATGTGCAAAAGAGATTCTTCAGATGCCAAGATCCTTGCTACAGAGAAGTAGTTAACAAAAAGCCATGAAAAGTGCTTCTGCAAAATAATCATGATAGTTGTGTTACTTATATCTAAAGCCCTCATAATCCATAAAAACACCAAGCCTAAAGTGTCAGTTGTAATGGGCATTTATATCCCTAAATCCATCTTCGCTCTTCTTGAATCTGTTCCCATGCAGGCCAGCTGAAGCCAACACCTAGGAACCAATATTCCAAGGGACGTTCTGCCAATTGTTCCCGTGGACTTAAGTCTGGGTTTTAAATGAGCTAGTAAGCGCTTTAAATTTTTAAAAATATGTATTTTAAAATGCTTATTTTAAATTAAGTATTAAAGTATTTCAAATCAACTTAAAATTCGATACTTTAGTTTAAAATTTAATAAGCATTTATTGACCAGCTCTCTTTGTGGAGAAAAGATTGCTCACACTGGAACAGGGACCTGCATTTGATAAAAGGATTGACCTGAGGATATTGGGAGACGTTTAGACACACAAACTTGTGTTTCTAAAGAAATGGATTTTTTTAATAGAAATATCTATACCAAAGTAATAATTATGGCTGCTTCTTAGGTCTAGGAATTACTTTATTATTTTTATGATAAGTACATTTTACTTTTATTTTAATAAAAACCATATTCTAAAGTTCTTCCAGTGCACATTTAAAAGACTTGGATTTAAAAACTGGAATTTACATTCCATTTTTAAGGAAAATGCCTAAAATACCTTTTCAATAAGTGTCTACTGACCACCTATGTGCTACCTGTGGCATTGTATTAAAAGAACCGCAAAGTAAAATACCTACCCCAGGATTTTATTGGCAAGGTTCACAGGCATCTTTGCAATAATTAGCTGACACATAATAGACTCAATAAAAAATTTAACAAATCCATGAAAGTACCACCAAAATTATTTATTCAAACTCTCATTTTATAGAGGATTATGCCTGTTCTGTTCATTCATCATACACATATCGTATTTCATCACTTCTAAGACAAAAATTGCTCCCTTTCAACAACTCTGAAATTAGAATGGGACTTTCTATCAATGTGATTTTTTAAAGTATTGTTTCATAGAAAATTTGCAGAATTTCCTCTTTTATAGTGGTAAACTAAATAACAGTATATTGTACATTGAAAACATCTTAGATTGAATGAAATACCATATATATTTTTTTGTATTTTAGAAAATGTATGTGAATATTTAGGTGTGTTTCTCCAAGGTTCAACTGAAAAAAGTTTTCATGGGGCCACACCATTCAATGAACATTCAAGCCACCAGTGGTCATGTGAAATCCACTACTAATTTATAGATGTTAAAACCAACAGCTGACAAGTAGCAACTTTATAAAAATGTGTACATTTATGAGGGTTTATTTCTCCAATTTTAAAAACTACTACTAAATGTTAAACATGTGTCTCCTAGTTCGAACTCAGTGCAAAGCAAAAGTGTATGTAAAAATTACATGCATTTCTGAGCATTTACCTACTTAAAGGATTTTCATATTTTAGTGTTTCAAATTAATCAAAGGTTTAAGAGGTCTAAGAAATATGAAAATGACTAAACTGTAATAACAACTCTGAGAAGTTACAGCAGGAACTGCTAAAATCTAACAAGAGATGAAATGTACTGTGAAATCAAAATGAAATGTTATGACAAAGACAGCAAAGAACATTGAAAAAAAAAAAAGGAACAATTAATAATGACGAAAAGAACAAAATGTCACCACACTAATAAAATGTGACTCATTGGTAAGGTATAACCTACACCATCTGCATAATGAAGGACTTAATCTCGTTGTCAGTAAAGTATCAGGCATGCCAATTAGACATCAAATACAGAAATATATCCGATAAATCGTTATTGATAACTACAGGTTCTGTGCATGTCATACCAGGTACATCAGGTTGAAGTAGATAGTCCTTTTGCCATCTCTTAGCCTTTCTCTTTCTTCCACATTTTCTCACCGAGAAGTTTCATGATGTCCGACCTGGGAGACGTAGACAGGTGTCCACTGCCTGTCCCTCACCCTCTCCTGCCAGGGCCTCTGAGATAACTCCACTGAGGACCTTTGGGAGCCACAGTTACCTGCTCTTTCCTCCACTACCTCGCACTTCCTTCTTTTTTGGGATCTGGAGCACAGTCTGGAAGTACCCATGCCCTCCTCCCTTCCATCTGGGAGCACCCAATCTCCCTGCTCCAGCCAACGCAGACCCAACTCGCCTGCCCAGTGATCACAGCAGAGTCGACCACCCAGCAAAGAGGACAATATAGTCCATTTTCTGTTGCATACTTTAGGGAATGGTTTCAAAACCTGACAAGTTTTCATCACTATAAAATAAAAAGGGAAATTCACTTAAGACTGTAGCAAACACTGAACTTGGAAAGAAATAGCTCTTCACTTCACCACTAATGTGCGACCTAGATCTAAAAGACAGAAAAAGGTGATGACTAAGAAAACTACAGTGCTTTTGTGCCTATGAGTTTACAAAAATGTCATCATCAATTTTTAATTAAACTGTTACTATTCACCAGAATAATTTTCCATGAACTTTCAGGTTCTGATTCTTTTTTTAAGTTTTCAAGTGCTTTGATTTTATGGGCTTTTTGGTGGAGTAGAAAGGGCAAGATGAAGGCCAGATCAAAACCATATAGGTGAGGTTAAGACTAAGATTGCTGTAAGTGATAAAATTAGCTTTAAGAGGACGTTGACTGCTTATGTGATGGTGAGCTTTGTGAGCTTTGCTTTTTCACACAAAACATTTTCAAGAAAGCCCTCTGAAAATGCTTGTGACACAGTGGATATAAAAAAGGATTGACAAGGGAATTCAACCACTGAAGCCAAAATGTGATTTCATAAGCCACTGTTTGACATCGTTGATCTTGGGAGTAAGTTGAACGAACAATTGAGAACAGAGTAAAGGGGGCCCAGCAAAAGGTAAAAATACCTAAGAGAATGGCCAGTGACTTGCCTAATTTCCTGGCTTTGAGGAGCTCAAGATGTTCCCTTTGGCGAAGAGCCAGAGAATCTGAATGGGAGAGGGAGTTCACTTTGGAAGCAATTACATTGCAGTTCATCTGGGCTCTTAAAGAAAACAAGAGACTGTTCTTTCTTCCCTGCCTCTCAGAACGAAGGGACATCACTGCTTCCTTAGGTTCTGGAAGAGATGTCCTTGAAAACAGTCCGCACTTCAATGGCAGTCCACAGTTACAGGGAGAGACCGGAGACATGAGGTCAGGATGGCTTTGCCACCTACTGAGATTACAACGCTTCCAGAGGCTCCAGTAAATGTACATGTTGAAATAAGCCACAGAGAAGATAGGGAGCAGGAATTCTAAGAGTGACGTGATGACAAGGATATACCACACGGAAAAGAACCCTGGCTCACAGTTCTCCCCAATCTTCCAAGACTGTGAAAACAGAATTGCCGGCCCATGCACAAAGAAGGCCAGCACCCAGACGGACAGCATCAGAGCCACCATCTTCAGGATCCCAGTGTGTCGAGCTCTGTAATATACCTAAAAGAAACCAAATAAGTTATGTTCAATATAATGATGTGTTTCAGGGATGGGAATGCTAACCGGACTGGTAATACGATGTGGACCAGTACAGAGGGTTCAAGTTTGCAAGAGCCTGGGCCTTCAAGGCAAAAACTGTAACCCTCAAGGTTAAACCTATGACATTATAGAAAATGTCAAGCTCAGAATCTACACTAAGAATGTACTTGCCCCCAGTCCACAGACACTAATTTGAACTTACGAACAATTGAAACTGGATGCACATTTTTACAATGTTCCTCAATCTGCTGGCTGACTCATGACTGGCATTTTTTTTTAATGAAGTGGAATAGTCAGTGTCAGGATATGTCACGTATCACAAGGGCATATATTGTTTAAAGAAACTTTTACTTTGGAAATACAGATTTAGACAGAAATGCGTGACTGGAATCACAGTGTAAAATGCACTTCTATCAGTCACTGTCAAAAAAGTTTGAAAGCCACTGGCTTTTCTGCTTCCAGTATTGAAGAAGAATCTATCCTGCAGTTTTTCCTGAGACTTCAAGGTGGGGTCAAAAGGAGAAAAAATTGTCATGTCTCTCCCAAGAAGATGAAGTGCAAAGAGAGAGAAGTTTAAACCTGCTGTGGAGAAATACTACAGTATTATTGATCATGACCAAATCATTTCTTTCGATAATCCTTTCTACCCAATAAAAATGGTGCCAAAGCTGTCATGGCCAGCCACCTTGGGAGACATGGCTGTGGCGAGAGCCACCGTCTCCGTTAAGGGTAAAGAATATTCTAGGTCCACCTGGTCACAAAGATAGGCTTCTGCAAGGAAAAATGAAATCCTAAAAGCGAGAATTCTCTTGGTTCACAGGACCCTTGCTCTTTGATAAATCCTGAAATCTTTAAGAATATCTCCTATAGGAAATCCAAAGGCCAACCACCTTATATGAGAGATAAATGTATGAACCAACAATTTTTTAAGGGTGCTTGGAATAAACAACCTCTCAGAATCCCTTTTAGATCAGTAAGATTCCTTCTAGCCAAATGTACCATGTTTCTGATTTCCTTACTCCAGAAACGACATACCCATGAAATTGGAACATCCGTCCCTTTTCACTGTCTCTCTTGTACTATTTCTCCAAATTTTTAAGTCTTACTCTACAGTGTTTTCCCATTCTTATTAAAAAGGTGCAACATTGCCTGGTACTGTCTTTCTTTGATGGATTGTTCATGCTGGGAAGGGTTCACCAATTGGCTGGAGGTAATAGGAAACTGGTTTAACAAAAATCTTATTTTTAAAAACTGCAAGGAAGTGGGGTTTTTTCTTTCCCAAATTTCTGAGGTTAAGCTAAAATACAGATGGTGCTGACCACAAGCTCCCATATACCATACGCGTTTTTGCCTTCTGCTTCTCATGCCACTAATTAATACATCTCTTGCACTAAATCTAACAATTATGAAGATGGTAACAATACCCAGATGGTCATAAAACTGCATTTAGTTTTTTAATTCCTCTGTTCAGCCTTTGTAATGATATGATGCAATATGCCGGAAGGTGATCTCTTTTCTATTATGCATAAGGTCAAATGGTTGATGGCCAGCCAAGGGAACCTAGAACTCGACGCCGATCTCTTCATCTCCAGGTAGTATTGTTGACAGATACTCAAGCATTGCATGAATCCAGGTCCAAGCCAGTTGAAGTAGCCTCCTGACACCACCCATGGCTCAGTTCTCACCCCCTACGGAATATGTGCTTTACTGAGGATATTGCCTCTGACCCCACTTCCTTCCCTGCCCCAATAAGATACCCAAACATTCTGTCAGTGGGTTTCTTTTGGGAGGCAGAGCAGCTCTCTGAACTTGCTGGTGTTAATAATGAGACAGGATTACAGAGCTTGTTGTAGGTCACAATCCCTGAATTGTGTCCCCCAAAAAGATAATGATGCAATTCTCACACCTAGTACCACGACCATGACCTCATTTGCAAATAGGGTCTTTGCCGATGTCATCCAGTTAAATGACATCATATCAGTTAGGGTGGGCCCCAATCCAACATGAGGGGAATTCCTCAACATGACATGTCGGACCCAATCCGACATGGTATTCTTACGAGAAGAGACACAGACGCCCAGGGAGAGCACCGTGCGCTGCGGATGCAGAGATTGGAATGACACATCTCATCGACAAGGATGGCCAGTAGTCCTAGAAGCTAAGAGGACGGCATGGAACAGGCTCCACTGGAGGCCTCAGAGAGCGCATGGCCTGCCTATGCCTTGTTTCAGACTTCTGGCCTCCAGAACTAAAATTTATTTCAGAGAAACATTTCTGTTGTTTAAAGCCTCCCAATCTGTGATACTTTCTTCATCAGTCCTAGGAAACTAGGCAACCCTCCCAGCAACAGTATTTTTCATGGTTTTGATTTTACAGTTGAGTTCCCTTCTCCCTCTTCAATTAAAGGAATGTTCTCCACGTCATCTTCATTCTGTGTGCATTTTAATTCACATCCCTTCCAGCGGTGCTGTGCCCCTTCCACCTGCTCTCTCTTGCTTCAGCCCACACAGATCTGCTGCTTCAGGAAACTTGGCTGAGCACTGTCATCACACGCTACTATCTGCATGGAGCCTCCTTTTCCAAATTCCCATCAGGTTTCCATTTCCCAGGCCCAGCCTGCCACCCTGCTCTACAACAGTCTCCTCTACTTTCAGCCACTGCAAAAGCTCAGCCTCCTCACAACCACTTCCTACTAGCCCCGCGCTCTTTGAAGGCTTCCTTCAGGCTCACAGGGCTGCATTTGAGCCATTCGCCATCAGAGGTGCAAGTGCCCCCTGAAAGACCCTGGGAGCAGCTGCGCACTCACATCTGGAGCGCCTGTTGCACGCATGACTGTGTGATGTGCAAGGGCCCAGGGTCCCACTGACCCAGCCTGCACCAAGTTTCCAGCCTGCACCATTGCCAGGGGAATTCCTCAAGGCAAGACCAGGAAACAAACCCACCATTTTCTCTCTGGACATCACTCCTCATCTTTCTTTAACTTCTAAGCACTTTTTCTAACTAGCAAGTTGTCCCTTACTTTCCCATAAACCTGGGGAAGGCTCAAGGGCCTGGACGTTCTGTGAAGGAATGTCCCAGTGAACATTAACTGGGAACACCCAGAATGAGTGAAGGCTATGAAGAAATACTAACCCGGAAAGAAAGGAAAATTTTGAAGTAGAAATGGAATAGATTATGGATTAAAGTGCTGTTTTCAAACATTCTGACTGTGACCTAAAGTAAGAAACATGGTTTTACTTCATAACCAAGTACACAGACTGAAGTATTCATAAAACAATACTTGCATCCATTATATGCAAGGTACTCTGATATTTTCTACTCTATTTTTTTAATCTGTTTTATTATGCTCCTTTCCAAATTTTTTTATTTAAAAAAATGTTACTGGTCACAACCCACTGAACTGATTTCCTGACTCAATTAAAGAAAGGGTCACAACCTGCAGTTTGAAAAACATTAAGATTATAAGCATCTGAATTGCTAATACAAACTGATCTGCACTCTCTCCATAGTCTGTCCAGTACAAACTGCACTGGGCTCTGGTGCCAGTGAAGCGCCCAGCACCCCATGTCTGGCTGTGCCACCACATCCCTTCTCCCTGCTTCCTAGCCCTGTGGCCGCTCAGCTGGACACCATATGTTTCCCACCTTCCCTTGCAGTGAGGTGGGGCCATGTGACTAAACTACACGAATAAAATGTGAGTGGAAATGTCTGTGTGATTCTGCACTAATTGATTAAAGAAAATCCCTTTTCCTGGACTTCTGCCCTTTGTTCTTCCTTTCTAGAACCTGGAGTGATAACACTTTAACCAGGCCTAGAGCAGGAGTCAGCAAACTACTGTCCATGGAACAAATGTGCAGCCTACCATCTGTTTGGATAAATAAGGTTTTTTTTAAACATATTACCTAATATTAACATATTACCTAATGTGTTATCTGTAAGATTACTTATAGACAACATATTACTGCAACTGCAGATTTGAGCCATTGCAAAAGACCACAGGTCATTTCACAGCAAAAACTTGTGGACTCCTGCCCTAGAGGATGCAGAGCCACCCCATTAGCCTGGGTCCCTGGGTGAGTCCCTGGAACAGTCTCCCACCTTCCCTGGACTGTTCCATGAAGCAAAATTAACTTTCATTTTGTTGGAGCCTCTGCATTTTTGAGTCTGTCTGTTAGAGCAGTTTGTCCCTGCCTTATCTTACATAGCCTCCCGATCCCATCTGCCTCCAAGCTGCATGGTCCTCCCGGCCAGAGCCGTCGCTGCTTTACGCCTCCAGCACCACATTCAGTTCTATTGTGTCGAACCCATTTGTTTATGGATCTGTCTCCACATTAGACTGTTATGCTCCTCAAAAATAGAGGCCCTTCATAATCCCTGTTGCACCATAATCCCCCAAAGATTGGGTCCCTCAGACTCAAGAGTCAAAGAAGTTTCCTATCTAAATCTCAAAGATTTCACATCACTGCCCATATTTCTATGGCCCCCTTTCACCTCTTGTCCTTACCTGGCAACAACCTGGCTTTCTCATTTTTATTATTGCTGATAAGTTTAGCTTGCTTAAGAATTGTCACTACCTTGTTGATGAAGCTATAAATCTTGGGTAAGTTCAGACTTCCTTGGTGTGGGTCCTAAACTGACACTGGGACTGGATCTTTCCAGTTGGTCCCACCGTATAACATGTAGCTTCTCTGTATACTGCCTTTTCCTTTGGCCATTCAAAATTGGTTTTCTCATGACATTCAAAAGTCTGAGAGTCTTTCTACTGGCCCACCAAATTCCATCCTGAGGAAAATATTCAGGTCTCAGTTTGAAGAGTGGAACTGGTAAACCTACTGTGAGCCTCCTGCATGTCCAATCCACTGTGGACCCAGTATCCCACTTCTGACAACTGCCTTGGGTTTTCTTTGATGCCCTCCCATTTTGGTGGCATATGGGGGGCGACATAGCCAAATGACACACAGAAAATGTTCACTAAGGGCCAATGAGAACTTAGTGCCAGATAACAAAAGAATAATCAGGCTCCTCTGGGGTTGTCAATTAAATAAAAAATCTGACTTAAAAAAAATTCTTGCTTGAAAACCCAAAATTCACAAGTATATAATCCTCTAAGGAAGAAAAGTTAGTGTTTTTACTTACAGCATTCGAGACTGACTGGTATCGATCATAGCTGATGAGTACAATGTTATACACAGATGTTGTACACAAAAGATAGTCAATAATGAGCCAAAATACACAGGTTTTATTTCCAAAGTTCCAATCAAACATCCTGTAAGGAATGTACAAAGGAATAGAGATTGCACCTGTATAGGGGAAAAGGGTAAAAAAAAAAAAAAAAAAAGCACCTATAAATGAATACAAAGCAGAGTAGGTACACAACCCAATGATATATCTGAATTGACCAAAAATGGCTTGATTATAATTTAGAATATTCATGGTATTTCAACCATGAATTCTTACAAACTCAGGACTAATTTTCTACATGTTCTTTAATACCATTATTGTAATAACTGTCACAAACATCATACCTCTGATGGTTCCTTATTTCCAAATTAGGTACAGATGCCAACCTGTATTTTGAGCCACATACAGCAAAAACTATCTCTACATTCATGATCCAACCCAAACAGGATGTGCCACCCTTCCCTGAGACACATCACACATTTTTACATCTCTTTGCCTCAGCTAGACTAATGCCTCAGCTAACAGCATTCTTTCTTCCTAGAATGTCCTCCTCTCTTCTATGGAGAAGTCTGTTTACTTCCTTCCCATTCTTTACTCCATTCAAAAAATGACTTCCTTGTCACTTTCTTGGAAATGCCTAGGCAGAAGTTACCCTGCCACCTGCACTCTACTATACTTTGCTCATCTCTCCCTCTCTCACGCACGATACATCCTACTTTACATCATTATCATCTGTTTCTCCTGAGGACTGGGACTATGTTGGAAGTCAATTTTTGTAGTTTTCACAACATCTACAGTTGACCAATGGCTCAGACATTTAACTTGAATAAATTAATAACAGCTAATTAGTATTTGGCAATTACTATAAGCCAGACCTTGTGCTATGTGCATTACATATATCATCTCATTTAGCTTCATAGAAACTTTTTGAGGTAGGGACCATGCTGAGTTAGCAGATAAAGAATCTAAAGCTGGATAAAGGAGACATTATAAGACCAAAGTCCACTCAGCTAATAAGTGAAGGAATGGACTGAAACCAGGAAAAGTGATTTCAGAACCCCCACGTCTAACCACTGCCCTTCACTGAATGAGCAAATGCACACGTGATTTAGTTCAGCACAGAAATTGCTTAATTGTGAAAAATGATGAAACTATGTTCCCCTTCTTTTAGCTTTGGAGGGGTTCTGAATTGCACTGACAGTTCAAACAGGTGACACTATTCATTGAAAATATCATCTATGAAGTGCGAGCTCAGCTTATATCTTACTTCATTGAGTATCTTCATATTTTATCAGGCACTTGGCAGGAATTCCCATTTTTCATATGGAACCGAGTAGCCTATGCTTATGGTACCCTCCCTCTCAAAGGTGTGCGAATGTATGTGCATGCTCATATGCACGTGATGTAAAAGAGGTCCCCAGGTTCACCTGACATAAATCAAAGGATCCTCAAAACAGAGATATTTATTAGATTTTGGCCCAGAGTTGTGCGTTTCAACATGAGCATTTTACACACACACACACACACACACACACACACACACACACACACAGTCATTTCCTCCACAGAATGAGGAAGAAGAGTGCCATGCCAGTAATCATTTACATTACAGGTAGTGCTGTCTGTTGGAAGGTTAAAGGGAGGGGTGTGAGTTAAGAAATCTTTTTCACACACTTTCTGAATTACATGAAAGAGGAAAGCTGTGTTCAAAACCTTAGGAGCTACTTGAAATAGCATTTGGCTGAAAACAGGCTCCAGTCTATTCCTCTGGTTTTAACAAAACCCTGCAGTCAGCTTGTGCTCTATGTGACATTTTGGTACGAACATCATGTGCAGTTCTGTCTTGAGTGGTGAAGATGTTTGTGAATCATTCCAAAGGAGTTTCAAAACTGTGAATCAGAACTATTTCTACGATGAACCCACTCTGAAGCTTTCACTCTGGAATCATGCTTTCTGGCCTTGATAAGGAAGACTAAGAGCCAGTTCCTTGATAAGAGCAATAAGCCTCGGCATGACAGGTTAAGGGGAAAAAAGAGAGAGAAAACCCCACTGTGTTTTTTTAAAGGTGATGAAGGGGGAAAGAAAGGAGATGAGGTAGGAGGGGAGAAGGAAAGAGAAGGAGAGAGAAAAGAAACGCCCTTAGACCCTCGGCGACTTGTTCCCCGTAGCCAGACTCAGCCTCTCCCAGTCTCACCTCCTACTACTTCCTCCACTCACTCCCTTGTCTCCAGCCCCCAAGCCTCAAATACACCACACACCCCCTCAGATCCTGCACTTTCCTGGGCACAAATCCTCCTCCCTCAGGGAGCCCTGTGTTTACTCAAATGTATCTGGATCAGCGAGCCCTACGCCTAAAGTTTAAATTTCAACCTCCACCTCCAACCCGTTTCCTCTCCCTCCTGCCTGTTATGCTTTTCTCAACAGCAATCTCCACCCTCTAAAATGCAATATAATTTTATTTATCATTATTCACTTATTCATATTTATGTCTGTCTCTCCACCCTGCTCCCAGTAAAAAGAGAAGCACCATGAGCCAGGGATTTTTGTCCCCATTTTCACAGCTATATCCCCAGTCCCTCAAAGGGCGCCTGGGTCAGAACAAACCAGTACTGCCTGAATGAAGAGGCGAGGATAGCAAAGCCCAGTTTGCTTGAAAATTGCCACCAGTGTGGTATTGCCCCTTCTTTCTGAAGCCAGCTGAGAAGCTACAACTTCCGGGAGAAAATGACAATCAAAAGAAGGGGGGAACTAAAAGCCCCAGTGGGCTCCCTGGACCAAAAGATGAATGGGTAGATCACAGTGAGTGGACAGAGGGTATTGCGAACTGAATGTTTATGTTCCCCCAAAATTCATTTGCTGAAGTACTGGGGTGGCTATATTTGGACATAGAGCCTACAGAGAGGTAAGTAAAGTTAAATGCGGTCGTAAGAGCGGAACCCTAATCCAACAGGAATAGTATCCTCAGAAGAACCAAAGAGCTCCTTGCTCTCTCTCTCCACATGCACACAGAGGCCAGGAGAGGGCAGCGAGACCGCAGCCATCTGCAAATCGGGAAGAGAGCCTTCACCAGGAACCAGACCAGCTAGCAGCTGGATCTGGGACTTCCTGGACTCCAGAACCATCAGAAAGCAAACTGCTGCCATTTAAGCCACCCAGACTAGGGCTCTGTGTCATGGCAGCCAGAGCCGACCAATTCAGAGGGAAAGAGTCCTATACTGAGGCCTGAAGGCACTAAAGGCAGACCTTGCCATCCTGAAAACACGATTCCAGTCTCTGTCGGCTGCAACCATCTTTCACTCCTACAGATCCTGTCCGGGCCATCCATCACAAGGTCGTGTAGACCATAAATCCCCACACAGATGTAGGTGTGACAAAAGACCCACAGACGGAAACATTAGTCATATGAGACTAATTTTATAGCTATTGATAAATACAGATAGTACTTTTTTTCCTGGAATAGTGTACAGATAAGATATATTTATATCAATGTAGCTAGTACTGAAACTTTTCCTAAATGAAATTTTGTTTTCCAACATTATATTCAGCCTGAGAAGCTACCAGGGGGCCACCAATTTTGATTTTCAACAGGCAACCAATTCTGAAACCTATGAGAAGAGGGCATTCATCCAGAAAGCCCACAGTACTGAGCACATGCGAGGCCCTGATCTGCCCTGCCACGTGGTTCTGGGGCCCCAGGTCTCATGACCCCAGCTATTAGGAATTGCTGGCTGACAGCCACAGAGAACCTCTCAGTGTTCTGCCCTGGCCCACCAGCACTGCCAGGAGTCCTACAGGCTTAGAGCTGAAGGGCACTTCCACTCATGGCAGAGGAGAAAGAACAACATTGACACAACACTCAAATCTTGTTACCAAAAACTCTGAGACTGTTCTAACTTGCTGATGGAGGGGGGCCTCTATGGCCGCTGAATAATCGCATCTGCATGGACGCTGCTCAAAGACGAACCACATCTCTATGTTGTAGGGCTCAGGCCCATGACAGTGGCACTGGCCTGATGCTGACCCTGGGCCATACAGAGACACTCTGTTCTTATTGGGAACCATTTTTGTTCAAAAACTTCAGGCCTCAGGTTTTCTCAGCTGGGGACAGTTTTGCCCATCCTTCCTTACCTTCAGGTACTCAGGGCTCACTCGCTGAGTTGGCCAAAATACACAATCAACTTTAAGCACTGAGTGTTATCTAAAAGATACACAGTTCTGTGAAGGAGCAGAGGGACAAGCACATAAATATACTCATATGTATATGTGTTCATGTGAACATAGAGAATGACATGGAAGGATCTACATCCAGTTGTTGATGTTGGTTACCTGGCGGGGCAAAAACCGAGGAGAGAAACAGGAGGTTGTTGTGGTTCCTAATGCTTCTATATTACATACCCACCTTTATCTCTGACCCTGTCATTTCTATGCCATGGTTCCTAAATCAATCTCTCCAGCCAGAAGTCTCCTCCAGAACCTTGATCAGTGCAATGTCAGAAGCGTAAGCGGCCCTCCCCAAGGTTCCGTTTCCACTGATAACGCCATAGTTTTCTTGTTCCCAGAACTCGACCTTTAACTCACCTTTGTCCTTCCCCTGCCAGCTCTGCCACCTGGACATTTCCACCTCATCCTAGCTCAGAGCCTAATCACATGACCGCTGCTTAGGTGGCTGCAGGATCATTTGCCACTGCACTGCACCTGCTCCAACTTCTGTCACCTACTATATTTCCTGTGATGCCTCTAAGGTAAAGCTTCAATCTATCCACTCACTCACCTGCTTTAAAAATCTTTTAAGTTTCCACATTGCCTGCTGAATACACTCCAAACCAGATTCAGACTAGCATTCAAGGGCCTTCAAAATATAAAATTCGACTATTCCAACTTTATCCCCTAGTGTTCTCAGAGTGCCATGTGCACACTAGCCAGCCTGAAGCTCACGCTTGGCCAGATATGCAGAGTAACTGTCCACCAGCACATCTTTGCTGACCCTTGGAATACTCCTCCCCCTGCACTTCTGCCTATGGAAATCCTACCCATGCTCCAGGGCTGCGTGTGGATGCTGCTATCCACTGATCCTCCTCTGAGTGCCCACAGCCCCTGGCAGCTCTTCTGGGGTCCTCACACTGCTCTGCATTGTGACAGTCATTTGTGGACGTCCCTTATCCATTCTACTATATTGAGACCTTCTGAAGAAAGAGATGAACCTGGTCTTCTATATATCTCCTCATTATCTGATCGCACTAGAGTTCCTAACAGAACTTACACACGGCAGGTACTCTACTAACATTCAGGTGACACATATCTGCAGAGAAATTAAGAGAAGAGGACTAGCATTTTTTGAGCAACTACTGTGTTCCAGGCAATAAGTACACTATGAATCTTGTTTCATTTTAACACAAAAGCATGCATTTATGTAACTATAGACAATGACAAATGAAATTATACTAGAAGTTCCTATAAAACAATATCATCAACTGACATTTCTGTACATACCTAAAAACCCAAACATACAAGGCAAAGAGCTCCAGAAACAAGTAACTCTTAGACTAAAACAATTTGAGAACTATTCTGCACTTATTTCTATTTGATCAAAAGGAAATAAACTGTTTTTCCCTACAAGCCTGATTTACACATATAACATTCCCCTAAAGTAGCATATAGCCTCCCCTGAACTTTGAGCCTTAAACGTTTTGTTTTTAATCATCCCCAATTTCATACAGTTTCTTGAAATAAAAAAAAGCTTACTTTAAGGTTTTAGAAATAAATTAAGAAATAAATTAAGATTATCTTAAATAAAGATAGGTAACTTACCAACAAAGAAGTCAGAAATGGCCAAGTTAAGGAAAAAATAGTTACTTCGATGTCTAAGGCTTTTGTCCACCAGAAAAGCTAAAATGACCATGGCATTTCCTAGCATTATAGCAAAAGCTAGTAAGCTCATGAAAAATGCTAGAGTAATGCGAGTGCTTAGTGCTGAAATAACTGTGCTATTAGTAGCTGACATCTCATCAGATGATGAAGAAGCTCAATATAGCAAATTAATTAAGCAAAGCAATTCTGACAAGTATGTTTTCCAGTCAGATACCTAAAATATATAGTTTCCTACTCACAACAACATTTTTCAAAATCTAATGATGATCTCCTAGTACTTCCTGATTCTTGATAAAGCAGACTTGTGATAACAGTTTCCCTTTAACTGACACTGAAAAGGTTATTTCCAGAAGACAGTGAAATGTTTTAACAAAAGAGCATTTATAGAGCAACATGATAGAATATATATAAAATAGAATTGAGACATTGTACAGGTAAGAAATTAGGCTTAAATGAGATTCATTTTTAAACTAATATACATCCAGTTACATGTTCCCCTCTGAGCACGATGGATTGATTAACAGGGCTGAATACACCAGCCCATTTGAACCAACCAACAACTGGGCAAAATATATGAAATGATGATTTTTAAGGCACTGAGCATCAGGCAGTGAAGGCCGATGATCCCCAAGAGAAGGGGAGAAAATGAGGTGAGCCCTGCAGTAGTCCAGGCTCACCGTCTTGAGAGAGATTCCAGGGCACAGAGCAGAGAGGGGAGACCTCCAGGAGGAGCCCAGCAGCCTTCCTGAGATGGCAAGATGGATCCGAGAGTTGGGGAGTACCAGGCAGGACTCTGTGCTGCAGGGCTGCACAAAGAGAGCAGTCCAGAGAGCTGTAAAGGACCTTCCTCAAGTATTCGCCAGCACAGTACGTGAATAAACATTCATAGGCAGGAAAAGGAAGCACTCAAAAAGATCAGAGGGAACAGTACCCAACACTCACGTGGGGCCACTTACATAATTTGTTTCCACCAGCCAGACAAAAGTCATAATTCCTGGGGTTTTGGGTAGCATATTCAGTAGGGTCTTGCACAGTAGTCAGAAATAGTTAGCCCTATACTGAACATCGCTTGGATCCTGCTTCACAATGATTAAAAGACCTGAAAGGATCAAAGATTTTGCAAGTAACTTAATTACAGTTCTTAACACAGCTCAAGAATATTTATAGAACGTAAGAATATCCACTACCCAACAAGGTAAAATTTAATATCTGGGATCCAACTAAAAATTATCAGGTATGCCAAGAAGCAGGCAAATGTGACTTATAATACACAGAAAAATCTATCAGCTGAATCCACCCAGAACTGACACAGATAATGGATTGACAGACAAGGACATTAAAGTGGTTATTATAGCTGTGTTCCATATTTTCAATCATAAAAATAAAGATACAGCAGATACTTTTTAAAGATTCAAATCAAACTTCTAGAAATGAAAATGAGAATGTCTGAACCAAAAATACTTTATGAAGGATTAATGATAGATCAGAAATTGCAAAAGAAATGAATAGTAAACTTGAACATATAGCAGTATAAACTGCCCAAAATGAATCACAAATAAAAAAGAATTTTTCTTAATTAAAAGAGTCTTCCTAAGCTTACAGGACAACTTCAAGTGCCTAAGTCTGTCTAAAATGAGTCCCTAAAGAAATGAGAGAGGAAGGAATAGAAAAAGATATTTGAAGACATAATGGGCAAAATCCATTTCAAAATTTGATGAAAACTATAAATCAAGAAGCTCAATGAACCCGAAACACAAGAAACATGAAGAAAACTACACAGAGCATATCAAATCAAGTTGCTCAAAACCAATGTTTAATAAGAAAATCTTAGAGCAGCTGGAGGAGGAGGGAAGGCAAATAAAACAGCAGATTTCTTATCAGAAGCAATATAAGCAAGAAAATAGTGGTCCCACATCCTGTAAGTGCTAAAAAAAATACCTATCAATACAGAATTCTCTATCTAAGAAAAATAACTTTCAAAAACAAAAGCAAATTAGGGAATTTTCAGATACATGAAACCTGAAAGAATTCTTCATTAGTAAACTAGCACTATAAGAAATGTGAGAGGTGATCCTGCAGGCAAAAGGAAAATGACACCAAATGGAAAATGACACCAAGTGAAATTCATATTTCCATTATGAATCTACAAAAAGGAAAGAAGAGTAACAGAAATGGGGGTTTTCTGGCTTGTCTCTCCTAATGGAAACAAGAGAATATTATTCTCTCTCAGCTTTGACTCAGATGTCCCTAGGGTGAAGGACTCTGTTGGACAAAATCTCCTCTTTTGAATAACCAAGAAGTAAGCAGGACAATAGTCAACCCAATGAGGACAGTCATTGGGGAGTACCAGGCAGGACTCTCTCCTCCTGAAGGAGGAGAGACAAGGATGACAACTGGAATGGCAAAGGGTTCCTGGATAAACAGGCCTTGCGGTCGGAGTAGACACTGAGCCAACATGCCCAAATGAGTGGTGGCAGTGACCTGGCCTAGACCCAGACAGGGGGTGTGTTCTTAGGTGTCTAAATTCAAATGGTATTGAGTGAGCCAAGGCCCAACAGCCAGAGAGTCTCACTGCATGCGAGCCTTACAGGCTATACAGCCTGTGGAAATTTGTAATTAGAGAATTCAACCTATCAGGTGCTTTTTAACAACTCTAGAGCCATGCCTCAGTTTTAACCATTCCTTCCCTATGATGTAACCCACGGTATTGAACAAACATTAAACAGGACTAGCAGGCTCCCTATGAAGAACTGAAGGGCCCAGCTGTGGGACACATCTCACTAGGAAACACTATCTTGCAAACCATGTAACCAGAGAAAAGGAATTTGCCTATGTTTCTAAGAGGTTTGGAATCTTGAAATAATAGAGATATACGTTCTAACCCATACTCCTATAAGAAAAGATGGATTTTGTTGGGAAGGAAAAAGATGGTACATAATTATGTCTGATTTATATTGTACCATGTATCCATGATACTCTGTGTGGTGTGGTACAGAAATCATAGGTAAATTTAATACTGTAGAAGCTAATAAAATTTATGACATTACTGAGGTGGTTGATAAAATGTCCTGTGAGATTGAATTAAAACCCCCTCATGATGTTATCCCTTTGGAAGAGAATTGGCCCAAAGAAGATTTAGACTTGAGTGGTAGTTAGTATTCTCACACCTCAGTAGATGTATACTTTAAAGTACCAATAACTAAGCCAGGGAGACCAAAGAATTAATGAAGTTAGTCCAAAATATGAGAACATTTATGCTATTCTGTGCCAATAGTATTGGATTGCTCAGATGGCTGCTTAAATCCATACCAACCTCTTACTATTATAGTTGTTTCAAACTTACTGCATTTTGATTGCCTATGTGATTATATGCTGCTTTAAGGCAAGTACTTGCTGTCAAACCAAAAGTTATCATTACATCTTAAAAAGGCCTGGATACATTGTACAGTGACAGATGGTAACTATACCTACTGTGGTGAACATTTCATAGTGTATATAATTGTCAAATCACTGTGCTATACACCTGAAACTAATATAATACATGTCAACTGTACTTTAAATAAATAAATAAGGCCTCGATCGTGGGTTGGGGAGCAGGACTATGCTGTGAAAAGTATTCCAGAAGATCTGGAATTGACCTGAGTTGTTTTGCTAAAGTACCCACAAGGCCCCTGATCAAGACATGAATTGTGCTGATTAATACTGCTGTTTTGCAGCTATGGGTTTGAGTTTCAGGCCTATTGTTCCAGCTGCTAGCATTTGTTCATTGAAAACACTGAGATTGATCATTTGCACCTGCTTTCCATGAGCCCTCAGAGGGCTATGGTGTTGGGGCTGTTAAGTAGCAAGAATATACCTATATGACCAGCAAGGTTTAAGAAACCCTGGGCTGACACTCCAGTTGTGCATCCCTGGTTTCAAGGTGTTCCACGCACCCGCCAGTTGGTCCTCGTCCTAGAGAGGAAGCATGTATGTGTGGCCTTTTCAAAGAGAGGACATCTGGAGCTCAAACCTGGCTTCTCTAGACTCCCGGCTATAAAGCAGCCGTGGGCTGTGATGCTTATCTCTCCTCTACGCTGCTGCTATACTGGGTATTGCAGTAAACCACAGACATGTGAGCATTGTCATTTTGGTTCCTGTGAGTCTTCGCTTGTGATCGAATCCTGTTTAACTATCTCCATTAATGTAGTTAGATTCCAGATACTTTAGGAAAAATACAGTTACAGCCATTTCTTGCCCTCATCTCACCACACACACACCCACACACATACAAACACGCATGCACACTCTTCAAGAACCAATGCTTATATCTCTCGCCCAGCAGAGAGCAGTCAGTCTAATGACACACAGTGGAAACTTGAGGCTGTCAAAACTGCAAGATACAAAAAGGTGCCAGAACTTGATCTTTTCTCTAGTGAAGTAAAAAAAAAAAAAAATCCCAGTAAAAGGAGGGGCAAGGGCTTAGGTAAGACAGTGGGTGGTCAAAGAAGGAAGATTTCAAGATGAGGCAGAATTAAAACTGCAAGTTAAGGCTGAGAGAGCATTCGTTTAGGGCGTTTCTGAAGGCTTGCACAGTGAGGGCCCACCCCTTGTGTGGCCCCAGCGGGCAGAGTCACAGGGTCAGTGGCAAAACAACCAATTCATCCTTTATCCACACTTCCAGCCCCCGGGCTCCACTGATGGTGTACAGTGAAGAGGTGCCCACACCTGCATCAGGGATCACTGTGTATCAGAACCAACAAACAGAAGGGCCCAGAGCAGGTAACAAGCAGCCGACCAGTTAACCAGTGTCTTACTTTACACTGTCCCGGAAGCAGATCCTGGGACAAGGATGTGTACAAGTAGCTTATTTGAGGGGTGATTCTAGAATACTGGGAGAAGAGTGAAGAAACGAAGGGAGTCAGTAAGGTGATGGTCAAGTCACCATTTTGGTTAAAGTAAGCGAAATCCCTCTGGGACAGTCTGGAAGCCAGTGTGGAGCATGCCCCTCAGAGTTATTCCTGTAGTTGTGAGGGAGCTGAAAATCACTGATCGAAGACTGCTAGGGTTTGGGGGTGACATGAATTCTCCAGTATTTCCAGCCGGAGGTGCATATGCAGAGCTGTCCAAGGCCAGCCAAGAAAGCCTGCAAGC